TTGAAGTAAAAGAATTTTCATTTTTAAATACTTCAACTATTTTTATTTTACTATTTTCTTTTTTGAGTCTCAAAATGAACATTTTTGTTATATAAATTAGAAAAGAGTTTAATTTTATTATTAATTTTTATATTCGTTTTTTGCTATTTTCTCTTCTACTATCAATCAATGTTTTGTAACTATCTTCCGAGCTATCTTAATGTAACTTTTATCGTCATTGCTTGCTTTTTTATGATGATTTTCCCAATCCTTCTTCTCCTTTAGCTTTGGTATCAGGACACAAATTGAAAAACATTGTACATGGCTTAAGTCTTAATTGCCGTTGCTTTGCTCTAACCTAGTAGCGCTCAAGAGATATCCCTTCGTTAGTCTAATCAACACCATATACCTCTGTCTTTTAGTTTACACTAAGTCTTGGTATAATTCCCTAGGTATGGCTTGTACTCTTCATTCAGTCGGTCGAATATAAAACACCAATTTAGACCATATTCATTTATAGTAATGGCCAACATCAACATTATCCTTATTTCTTAACATCAACCTTTTAAATTACTAGTTCTTTGAGACTTCATATTTGCATTTTCTCTTCTTTTTTCTTTAATTTATATGAATCATTTCATTCCTCAATAAGTTAGGTCTAAACTGCTAAGAAATCTAAACGCATTCTAGATGTTTCGCAAAAAAATTATTTATCGTTTATTTTATCTTTTAAATTTCAACTTATTGGACCTGAGTGTTGTTTGTGTTGAGTCGCGTAGACATTCCCCCAATATAACATGTTCAATTATGTTGATAGTCATCTCTATTGTAACAGTCATTATTTGATTGTACTTAAGCACAGTATATAGTTATTTTTTTTATTATGTAAATTTGTAATCATTGATGCTGGCTTCAATTTCTTGAAATACCCTGAACACATTATACTCATTTTACCTTACTCGCTTATCATGACCAGCTTATTATTTATATTTGTGCTAGATCAAATTGAACTTACCTTCAAAAGAATTGCAGCTTTCAATTTTATTAAATTATCCAGCATTATAGAATACAACACAATCACATTTCTTATTGCTTTCTTACACACTATCTGATAATGTAGGCGGAAGAAATATTTTCCCCTATAATTTCGGCCATATTTCGAGACTCTAAGAATGAACTTTGATGTTAATCTACCAAAGCTTTAACTCTTAATAATTGGTCTTCTTGATTTAGCATTAACAATTGATTCATAGCACAGAGGCTACGCAATTTTCAATTATGTATGATGATTGTGTTTCGAGCATATCTTTACTTAACCTAGGCGTAAATTGATTTCGAAACTGGTTCTTCATAATGGACAAACGTGTCACCTGGTTAATCTCGTCATCTCAGTACTAATGATCCATATAAAACCCTTATTCTTAATTCTCAGATAAAATTTTTTATGTCGCTTATTAAATAAGCGCACTGATATGAGACTTCGAAAATTTCTAACCTAAATCTCAAGAATAGTTATTTATGTACCTTGATAGGGTCAAAGGCACATATTTGTAATTGGTATTTGGTGGGAATAGTGGCAACTATAAATTAGCAATAATAAAATAAAATAATGCTGATACCTTGGTTCTTGATTTAGCGATGAAAACTTTGTTAAATTCTTTTTAATCTCTCAATTTTTTTAATCTCCTTTACACGTAGGACTCTAACCCGTTTATTCAATGGGCACCCACTAGATAGTCTATCTGATAATGAGACTGCCTTCTTCGCCTACATATCCATCATGTTCACGGTCTGTACATTGTGCGCCTGCCTTGCGCTCAGCCTCCGCAATCGCTATCGACTACGGACTTCTTTGGCCCTAGCTACTCGCGCCGGGAAGTCAGCTACCGACGTCAAAAACCATGGCTACGCTGTTTAGCTGGAACAATTATAATATTGGCCCTTTTGACTGTCGGTGCAATCTCACCTGGATCAATTGGAGCGGCAAATGCAATCGAAAGAAGCAATATTGGGAGATTTAGTAGG